TCAATGAGATCTCAGGTGATAAAGCATCAAAAATACAGAACTAAAAAATATAATTATACATACCACCCTGAGCTCTACCAGATTAATATCTAGTCTTGTTTTTTTGGTTCTGTATAACTTCTCAGTTAAACCTTTAGTAACTTTCATTCTTGATCTAATTCCCTATTATGAGGATTCACATATTCATATATCTACTACTCTTTGTAATCTTTACCTCAGTTATAAGTTTTAATTTTTAAGTTGTTAAAAATTTTTTTATCATTTTGGCTCCCTATTCCAGGATATTGTTCATAATACAAGGCCTGGGGCTCAAGTATTTTGTTTGCTAGGTATTGCCAATTCCTGCCATCATTCAAACACCTGATGTGATGTGGAGGTAGCTGTCATAGCTGGAGACAGTCCAGAGTGCACAGGACTGTAACGCCGCAGGGTGAGATCAACAGACGTGGAAGGGTATGCAGTGTCGTGAATCTTGACTTTGTCTTGTAAGCAAGACAAAGATTCTCAATATTAAGAAAGAGAAAGAATTGAGAATATGAAACTAGAGAGAGAAATAGTAACTTATGGCACTGTTGCAGGGGGTCTAGACAAGAGTTATTGAGGAACAAAATAAATAAAACAGTAAGAGGGGAGCAGGCAGGGAGATTGACCAGATACGAGAGACTAGTGTGAGTCAGCTGTGGAGTTCAGGTGTGCATGGCTGGTGTGGTAATTCTCTAAGAGAGAGTTCGCGTCAAATAGGTTCACTGTGGACCTGAGGAGTGTAGCTGTGGGCATTTCCAAAGACACGCTCTTGCAGTTGGGAAAATGAATTCAGCATTTAGAAGAAAGGCTTGCGTTGGCAATGCAGATGTGGGAAGTATCAGCGAGCAATTAATTTTTCACTAAATTCTATAGTTTTTGCTTTGGTCATCTTTTTCCCCGACTTAATGGTGCACCTTGTTTAGAACTTGGATATCTAGAGGGATCACATTCTTCATTTTGGTCTCCTGCATCCGTGATGAATCCTGGTTTATGGATAGAAACAGCAGTCACATACACTTTACTATTTCCCTCTACTGAAATCTGCTGTATCCTTTCCGCGTGACAAAATGCCGTGTAAGTTCTTTTCACATGTTAGCCCCATGATGACTTTTGGAGTTGGTTGAGTTTTCCGTTTTACACGTGGAGAATAATGAGATTCAATGGTTGACCCAAGATTTGTGCAACAGTAAGTGTCAGAGCTGGATTTGACAAAGTCTGCTTGACTCCGTGGACCTTGCTCTTTGCTCCCAGCCTGAGCTGCTTCCAGTGCCTGTGGTGGCTGCTAGTTTGTTCTGCCTGGAACACAATTGTTCTTTCTTTGACATAAAAAAAGACTTTTTTTTTTAAAGTCTAGAAGTACATATACAACAACATTAATAGTGATTATCTCTGCATGGTAAAATTATGAATGATTTTTGTTTTCTATTCTTCGTATGTCCTGAATTTTATGAAATGAACGTTTATTACTTTTTATAACCAGAAACATAATGGCACTCTTTAACAAAGCAGCGATGTTTTTTTCTTCATCCCACAGTGCTGCAGTATTGTAGGCGTTTATTGCAATTTTGCCATTGCTTCCCATTCTCATCACATTAATGGACATCCTTAAAAGTAGCTTTATCAGTGCTTATTTTGTTTACACACGTCCTTAGCCGACAGGACAAAGTGCTGAAGATTTTGCTAAAGCTCCGAGAGCCCTCGTCTTCCTCGTCTCAGGAAGAGGATTGTGCGCTGTGGTGTCACAGCCTGCAGGCGGGGGCTCGTCCCCCTCAGCTCACTCACTGATACAGTTTAACTGTGAGTGGCGAAGGGCCCCTGACATCTCTAGGAAGAACTGGAGGTTGGGGAACTCTCTGCTTTTAAAGAGGAAAATAGAGAAATGAAAAAGGGTGGATTGGGCGCATTCTTACCTTAGAACTGATGTTTCTTCCAACATAAAGCAGCGTCAGATCCTTCCTCATTGCTATGCAGGTGGCCCCGGGCGTGTGTTCTCTGAGCTTCCCAGTTCTCAGCTCACGTGCTTCATTAGAGTGGACTTGGGGTTACAGATACGACATTCCGAGAAAATGAAGAGAACGTGCAAAGTTTTAAAGTGTAATTTTCAAAAGCAACATAGGAAGACCCCCATCTAAATAATTTTGGTTTTCTGTAATTCTGAACTGACCTGCATTTAAGTTGTAAACTTGTAATTGGAAGAGACCCAGAATCTCCACATAGATATAAAAGAAGCTCAGTAAAATGTAATTACTACAGTATAGTTCACTCCATTCTTGTAATTGTATGTGCCCTTGTTTCCCTATTTCCCCATGCCCAACACTTTTGCTGTGCAGTGTTTAGAGCTTTTGTCTGCTCACAGCCACCTCCGCAGCCCAGGCCCTGCACGCTGCATCAGATCCCTGGGCGCCCCTTGAGCAATCTCCGTAGCACCCCCAAGGCGCTGGCTCCCCACCCAGTTTCTGGGGAACTGCAGAATGAGTTAGTGGTGTACCAGAGCAGCAGTCAGGGCACTTGCTTCATAGACGTATTTGCCAGAAACAACATAGCCATCCCAAGGAGATGGAGCTTGGGGTACACAGGGAAGCCCATGTGAGGAATTAGTCATTTTTGCTTCCTGTGGTAGAATTTACTAAGCATAAGATTTGGTAAAGTTTAAACACTGAGAAATTAGTATTGGAGTCAACTTCTGTACTTCTTTGATAAAATCTAATGAATGATAAGCCAAGCTATCTTAACTGAATACCTATGAGTGGATCCCTGTACATTTCAATTGCAGTGTATTTAGTGTCTATATGTTACAAACTTTATTTTATCATAGTTATTTATTACTTTTTTAGTTGTTTTAGCACATAGAGCAACTAAGTACCAAAATATTAGGTTGTTTTCCAAAGTCTTCTATCTTGACTCCTATTCGGAATATAATTAGAGGGGAGACAGCTTAGTGGCATAGCACCTGCCTGGAAAGCACAAGGTCCTGAGTTCAATTCCTGGTTTCAAAAATATAGATAGATAGATAGACAGACAGATAGATAGGGATAGAGATATTGAGTTTCATCTCCCACCAAGAGATCTAAAATCTGAAAAAGAAAATTGTAATCAATTACAATATAGTAATACTGCTGTATAATATGGTAATGTTATACAATATAGTAATACTATAGTAATACTGCTGCTGAGTTGTTTTTGTAATTTTTGTTATGAATTTCATTGTTTAGAACACACTCAACATCCAACAGAAATATAGTGGAAATCATACATGTAGTTTAAAAATTTTCCTTAAAAATAAAAAGGTGAAATTAATGATGATAAATTTAATTCATTATAACCAGAATAGTTATTTAAACATATGATTAGTACAAAAATTATTGAGATATGTTTCATTTTATTTTTCTTATTCTTTTCACTTAATGTATGTTTTATATTTATAGCACATTTCATTTTGAGTAGCCATATTTCAAATGCACCCATGGCTAGGGGCTGCCTATGGAGCACCATAGGTTTAGAACATGTTTAAAGTCTCCTATATTACAAGTATATATTAAGATAGAATTAAGATATTTTTATAGAGAGTCCCATTTAAAAATTTTTATTAGTGTATATTTATCATGCATAATGAGTACATTCAGAGTGGGATATTGGTATGAATACATACCGTATCTTGATCCTTTTTTCTGCCCAATCCTCCTTCCTGTCTTTCCCCACTCGTAGGTACTCTTAGACAACTAGGAAATAAGGAAAATAGCTTGAAATTACTTAAACAGGTCAGTAGAGTAAAATAGCTATCTGGCAGCATCTTGCATTCCTTATATTGTTGTGACATATTGCTCATATATTAATAATTATAAGGGAAAAATGAGGTGAAACTAGGGTGTAGCCTGTTCCCATTCTACTTAAAGTAGGCAACATTTCTGTTACTATTACTATCTTAGAGCCCTGACTATGACTTTGGGAACTTGGGAGACAGGTAAAATCCCCCCAAATGGAGCTACTGCTATAGAAATTGTTAGAAACGATGAAAGAGAATGCCACTGGTGATACCAGCCCTTGAGGCTAACAGAGAGAGACACAGACAGACAGACAGACAGACAGGGGAGGAGGAGGGGGAACAGGAGGGGGAGGGGGAAGGAGGGGACGCAGGGGAGAGGAGATGAGAACCAAGAATAATTACAAATCATCTACTTTAGGTGGATTTAATATGGACGTATTCAGGACAGTAGTTTGTGTGTGTGTGTGTGTGTGTGTGTGTGTGTGTGAAATTTCTCTATTTCCCAAAGCTTTACATGTGAAAATCTGTGTTTTAATTTCATTGAGTCAGGATGGGTTATTTTACTTAAAACCAGACTTCGTCTGAAATTGTAGAAAAAGAGTGAAATTGGTCTCTCTTCATATAGCTCTGTCATTTACTCATGAGTTCCAGTTAACTGCCCTTACATTAATAGAAAAAGAGAGTTGCAGAATATGGCGAGCATGGAAAAGTCAGTTGTCTTCATTGGTAAAACACTTCTACAAGGTTGCAAAGTAACATTTTAGCTGTTTCAGTAAGTCCGCTTTTTTTTTTTTTTTTTTTTTTGGTCTTTTTGAGACAAGTTCTCGCTATGCAGTTCGGGCTGGCCTTGAGCTCACTTTGAGCCCAGGCTGGTCTCGAACTCACAACGATCCTCCTGCTTCAGCCTCCCGAGTGCTGGGATTACAGGCGTGAGCTACCATGCCCGGCTCATTAAATCCTCTTTTAACAATATCTAAATATATGGATTTCAGGAAGGGAAAAGTGAAGAAAATTTGTGAATTCTAGAATAGCAGTTCTCTGTGCTGGAATGTATAACTGACATTCTTGTAAAAGAATATATATCAACAGCCACATTCTTCCACCCCTGTCATGAAAATGTTATTGAGTCCATCTGAATTTGTTGCCTGCTCTTTCTTGGATTGATTTCTAAGAGATCTTTTCTTTTACATTTTTCCATTTGTTTTAAATCCAGGAATTAAACAGCTTTAATTACTTGGACCTGTACAGACTTGCTGACCTCTTTAACCTCACTTTGTTGGAGAAGGCGGTGGTGGATTTCTTAGTGAAACATCTCTCTGAACTCCTGAAAAGCCGCCCTGAAGATGTGCTGACGCTTCCTTACTGTCTGCTGCAGGAGGTCCTGAAGAGTGACCGGCTCACCTCGCTGAGTGAGGCGCAGATCTGGCAGGTGAGGGGCTCCACCCAGGTCCTCTGTTGACCCCCAGGAGGCCTGAGGAAATTGGATGCTAAGAGTGGAGGAACAGTGGCATTATTTTACCTGTGGTTGACGTTTTAGGAGCCCTGGTAGCTTCACTGGTACATGACTTGAAAATGCCAGCTGTTGGACTTCCAAACAAAATGATAGGAAATCAGCAGTGGCTACCATGATGTTGGTTTTGACTGGTTTTAGTCTGTTTTCAGGTATTTGATTTCAATATGTGTGAAAGTATGGAAAACTATTTTGAAGAAAACAAGAGACAATATGATAGCCATTATTGATTTCTTATTGTCTGGTTTTGAAGACCCATAAGGCTCTCATTCTTGTGTTTTGATTGCTTTTATTCTATTTTATTTCATATTAACTTGTGTGTAAAGATATGGACAACTATGTCAAAGAAAAAAAGGACATTATGGTAGCCACTGTTGATTTCCTGTTTTCTTGATGCCCTGTGTTATTTGCATTGCTTTACTCTGATCTGTTTTGGTTTGCTTTGTTTTGTTTTGTTTTATTCTTTTAAAATAAAAAAAAAAAAAAGAAGAAGAAAAAGCCAGCTAGAATGGCCTCGGCTGACTGTGCCTCGAACTCAGGAGACAGCAGGTGAGTTTACCTGCTGGCTGCCAAAGCTCTGACCTGGTCACATCGGGAAATGTGAAGAGAGTGCTTTCCTTGGAAAATAATCATTTCTTAAATAATACCAGGAAACAATGAATTTTACAGTGATGTTTATGCATATTTGGTTTGAGTGGAATCAGAATAAATTCTGGGTTTTACTGGAAACAATTCAGAAACATTTCTTGATGGCAGTAGAGACCAACTTGGACCTTGACTAAAATAATGCTTGTCTTGCACTGTGGTGGGGAAAATGTCCCTTCCCAGGTCATTTTGCATTCGTCGCTGTTTTCCTAAGCCCTGCCTTTTTGCCTTGCATTGCATTCTTTTGCATTGTGTCACTGCTTTATCTAGGGACAGGAGGATGATTTGTGTTTGAAGTTGATTATTCAGTTTAGGTGCCCTCTGCTCATCCCCAGTGACCAGCCTTGAATTATGTTCCTGATGTCTTCGGGAAATAATCAGAAACCGTCCTCCTGCCTCTGCGCTGTTGGTCGCGCTGTCTGAAGCAGTCACCAGCCATTTTGTTACCTCTGCGGTGCTCTGCCTTCTGGATTTTATGATCATTTGAACAATAGCTATATGCAGAATATAAACAGAAATTTCAAGTGCTCTGTTGGTAAATGAGACAGTAAATTTCTGATGTTCAGTATATTCAGAAAACACTGTAATTTTGGCCCCAACTCGATCATATATGTTAACTGTCTGGCTCCTGACTCTAGAGATGGATAATCCTTCGTCCTCCCCTTTCTTGTTCCTTCCTTCCTCCTCTCCCTTCCCTTCCCCCTCTCCAGCTCCCTCTCTTCTTCAGTGTGAAACCTGTCTTTGTTTGTGAGAATAATAAGGCCTACCTGATGCCTAAGATCCTTCTAGGCACAGGCTCTTTGAAACTGTAGTAACCTGGTACACAACAGCCCCCGCTCCATGACTTAGCATCACCATTTGCAGATGAACAAAATAAGGTGTCCGTGGCTGACTGAGAATTACAGAAGCAAACCAGCCTTCAATCCCATGACTGTAAGCACCTGGCCCATTCCCCCACTTAGTGTGATTTGTTTTTTAAAAAGTCATAATTTTTTTTCTCAAGTTTTTCTGGAAATGCATTGAAGAAGTTGAAAATACATACTGGCGATGAGGTAATTGTGGGAGGCATTTCAATGATGCCCACCTCTCCTTTATGACATAATTTATCAGTTTACTCTGGCATCAATTCAAAGTGGCAAGTAGAAAAATTTTCTTTGCTATCCAGTAGAAAAAGAAAGACTTGCGATAGATTCTGCTCTTAGTTTTTTTCTAAATTGTTTTGAGGCCACCCCTCCATGTGGCATTTTTCTCTTACTGTGGTGTGGTTGAAGGCATTGCCAGCAATCCACAAGTAAGGTGCAGATGTCTGAGTGTCAAGGAAATTCTGTACTGTCCACTTAAGAGTTATCATAATTGCCTCTTTAAAGGTTACTAGTGTTATAATGTAGAATTTTAAAAACTGGCTTCTGCTGCAGGCGGTAGCTTTTTTTTTTTTTTTTTTAAAGACCTGGTCCTCAAGAAAGAATTAAAACACTCACATACGTATTATCAATTTAGGCATTCAGCTGGCTATAAGAAACTGTTTTTGCTTTATCTTAGTAAATAAGTAATTCCCTCATACTCAACTCAATAGAGAAAAATCAAATCAGACCAGCTATATTGCCTCAAGTATAGTGAAGTTCATCATTTTTGCTGAGGTTATACTACTAATGCAATATACCATGGAAGAATCTAATATTCAGCCCAGGGTGAAGATTGGGTATGCCAGAGGATTAGTGTCAGGGTGCTTTATAGAAGTGAAACTTGATGGACAGGCTGGAGACAGATCTACAGAATCTCATTAAATTGCTGAATTGTTCATTACAGAACGTTCTCACTGTAATAAAGTGCTCATTGACTTTGACAAATCCCCATCCCATGTCTTAAAGAAGAACAGTGAAGCAAGGGCTGTTGGGGAGGAGAAAGGAAATTGGCACAAAGTAGGACAGGTAATGGAAAGCGGGTGGCAGAGTGGTGCCATTTGATTAATATGTGCAACCCTCACTTGGGTGAGAGCACAGTGAATGTGCACACACGTTTACCCAGGTGGCTGTTCTACTCTGTACTGATAATGTAATCTGAGACAATACCTTTTTTGGTGAAAGGTCTAATTTTCATTACTCACCAGACTTCACACAGTCTGGCTCTGAAGAGCTGTCATAAGAACCTTCAAATTATCCTTTCAGGACAAACTCTTTTTATCTTTTCCTGCTAGTTGTTACCCAGTCCCTTTCCTTGAAAAATGTGCTACCAGCCACGTAACCATTCTGAGATCTGTGAAATCCTGCCAAGATCATAGCTTATGCCTGCTCTTTTTTATTTAACCTTTTTAAACTTTGTCTCTTGTCTGACAGTGGGCTTCTTGGTCCCTCCCAGATATCCCCCCCGCCACTCTTTTTCCATTACCTGAAACCGCTTGGTCTGTTGATAAACTTTTACTCTGTATTCAGAGGTAACATAGAGATTTATGCCACAATCACATATCTGATGTATAATGAGATTTTTATTCTCTCAAAAATAGTGTTTTTTAGATGACTATGGTAGTACATGCCTATAATCCCAGCACTATGGGAGGCTGAGGCAGAGGAATCACAAGTTCTAGGCTAGCATTGGCATACTAGTGCCTTAGTGAGACCCCGTCTCAAAGTAAAATAATTTTAAAAGGAGGAGGAGGCCCACAAAATTGTTTGTTCTTAAATTCAGTTCAGTGCAGCTCAACACCTGAGTCTTATGTTTCAAGGCCAGTGGTTTCTCAGGTTCCAAACACCATACTGGCTTCTGGATTCAAAGAAAGAGGACAGGAGAATCAGCAAATTAGTCAGAGAAGTAGTATGGTGCATGAGATCCTCATCTTTGTGACCTAGAAGATTTCCTCCACTTTAATATGCTTTCAAGGTTAGCTATAACTTTGCACTTTATTTTAATAGGGTCTTACTAAATATCTTCTGTTAGACTCAACATCTAATTTTTTAGACTATGGAGCCAGGGTCCTGCTGTAAGGGACCAGAGAATGGGAGAAAGAGGAGATAATGGCCAGAGGGCACAGAACATTCAGTTATGAGATGCACAAGCCCTGGGGTACTGGAGTAGTACTAAATATGTTAATTAATTTGACTGTGATAATCATTACACAGTGTGTGTGTGTATCAATTCACGTATCATGTTGTACACCTGGAATACATACAATCCTGATTTGTCAATTAGGTAGTCTAAAATAAATTCAAAACATGACAATTTTTCATTTTAAAAAAAACTTGCAATAAGATAATTAAATAATTCAATACCACCCCAATATACTAGACCTGTTTTCAGCGAGATTCCTGTTCCATGAGTATATAGTTTGTAGAAAAAAGTCTGAATACAACAGAAATCGTTAGATAAACTAACCTAGGAGAAGGTCTTCCCATCAGCATCTCTCAAGGACCAACTAAGATGCCCTAAGCCAGGATGGAGTAGAAGGCAGAGGACGAGTTTGCTAACTCCAGTGTTCTCTCCCAGGCTTCACTGTGGGTTTAAATCACTACTGCAATTCTATGAATTGTTAGTTCATCTCTGAAATAGCAAAAGCAAAAAACTATTTTAATGGACAAGGATGGCTTATGAAAACAAAAGTGAATATTTCTCAAGTACCTGTTATGTCCTTGGCATTGCGGTGGTAGCCCACTCCCTAAAAAGCTCTACAAAAGTATCAAGTATTGAGTTAGAGAGATTTATTTCACTTTCATTTCTGAATATAGAATTGTTTCTGTTTTTCTTTTAACTATTGCTTTATGGTTTCCAGTTTTGGTGAGGAGGACTTACTATATTTGTGAGGACTGTATTTTCTTTGTTAACCTTGAGATTATACCAATGCTTTTTATTGCCTTCCTTTTTTGAGGGTTTCTCCTAATTATATTTTGAGCCTATATTTGGCCGAACTTAAATGAATACTAAGAACAAACAATTAATTGGTCACATTAATGTGAGTATGTCAAACAAGGACAGACTGAGCAGAGAGTTTACTGTATCGTAGTAATGTCTCAGTGTGATGTGGCAAGGAGGAACCGTGTCATTTTGCAACTATGAGATAATCCTGTTTCCTTTTATCTTTGATTATATTCTCCCAAAGGCAGAGGCTAAGCCTATTTTTTGTGTGTCATATACTACTATATATTGTTTTCTTGCACTCCATAAATAATAAATAAAAAGAATAAAGTTTTCAGATTAAGATGTACTGAATGGGTAATAAAATACACTGTTATTTCTGCATAAGATTGTACTTATTCTAGGAACAGTACAAAATGAGTTTGGTTTTT